AAATTCCTTTAGCCAAAACCTCTTTGAATAGAAATTATACAGACAAATAAATAAGACGAAGTCGTCATAGCTGCTGACTGTGACGATAAAAAAAAATAAAACGCTTTGGAGTATATTGTTGTACACCTAGTTACAACAGCAAAGACTCAATAACCTCTGACGCGTAAAATTGATCAAATATTTAACCTACTGAACTTTCGTATGAAAATCGGTCAATCTTACAGATTTTTAAAATTATTAGGATTTACTGAAAAAGGGTAATAAAAATTGCATTGAATGTACCCTTTAAATGAGGGTTTTGTAATCACATGCCCCTCAGAGCATGTAAATGCAAATTGAAACAAGGGTGAGGCAAATACGATTAGAGTCTGTTATGTGACCACGCGGCAGATCATGGGAATAGGGATCTCTAACTCGTAATACAGGCCGGTCTGAGATAAACTGCAGGATTATAACTTTTTCAGTAGGATACAGTAATGCTACCTCTGTAGATAAACTTAACCACAAACATAACTTTAACCTTGACCTCAATTTTGCCAGAAATAAATTCAAAAGGACCTGCATTACACCGCTGCATGCTCAACTGTACAGCGGAGAGCGGAATTCTATAAGAGATTTCAACCAGGAAAATATAAAGGAGGAGTTTCATATTTAATCGATAGGTTGTACAGTGCCCCTCATTGGCAGAGGACAGAAAATACAATAAGAAAAGGCTAACCGTGACTGACTTTTTTGTAAACAACGATGGAAACGGTAATGCATACGATGTAGGAGTTAGTTGATTTGGCCCGAACTATAAATGGCGTGATATCCTGCAACAGTTTCTCCAAAATATTTCACAAAACGGCATGATAACCTTGTCCTACAGAAATAGGTAAACGGAAGCTTTTCTTAAATGTCTGTTAAACTTCGAAAGTACGATTAAGATTTATTAAATAAAATGCAACCGTTTGGAGGTACACAAGTTGCAATCGAAAACTGAACTTTTAAACTAGAGCTTGCAATGAAGAAAAATAAAGACTGATCTATTTAAATGTGCTATAAATTACACCTTTTAAGATTTCATTGCCCTCTGTTTCATGCTACTCACAAAAAGATGTGTGGATACTTTTTCTAAAAGTTAAAGGAGACAGAGCAATAAGTTTCTAACCGAAAGATGGTTTCGGAGTAGATAAATCGAGTACTTTTATCATTTTCGACGACAATTTCGGTTAAAGCAGATAACCGTTGGATGCGAAAAATGCGATAATATTTGCATCGTAACATTCAAATAATAAATTCCATTTTTTCATTGTGTCGGCCAAGAGCATGATAGCCTAGGCAGTTGCAACAACGAGGATTAAAGCAATAACAACCGTTTTATTACATTGGATAAATTCAGCTTTGCGTACAAAATAAACAAAAGTATTAAAAACCAATTCTATATCTTTACGATCCTAAAGGTCTTGGAAGTAAGCTTTGGTATATAGTGTTGAATAAATTTTCTTTAAGCTAGAAAGTTATGTTTACCAAAATATGCTATAGAGCCTTTTACCGGGTAAGTAGGTCTTGACAATTCTTCTGTCGCATATCGTTTTGTGTAATCAGTAAAACCGGAGCTGTCAGACGTGAAGTACGCACTTTTCTGACGTAACTTTTTTACTAATTGCTTTCAATTTGTAATAGAAAATTTAGGATTGGCCAGAAACCCTTGAAAATAGTACCGCCTATTTTGTATACTCAGTTCTGCCCTCCAATAATAGGGGGAATTTGTTTAATAAAAAAAGCTGTTCAAAATATAGAAGCTTACGAGTGTTCGTTTAGTTTAGTTTCCCCTCAGATATTTTCAAGTTCACCATCTGGTAGAGTTGATTTCTATAAAAAGAGGTTTGTTGTTGTCACTATGGCCATTAGATCAACCGTCACAAGCACCGGGCTCCGCGAGGTAGGCATAGTCGTGACTTGCCCAGGAATTTATTTGCAATGATGCGGACTGGCTTGACACCTGTCGCATCCTACTTTCTTACACCTGCGGGATTTCAGTCGCAAGAATAAGCCAACGCGATCAAGTGCGGACATGTCTGTAGTGCTGTCAAAGCTAAATAGCTACGTCACAAGTGTCATGCTCTCCCAGATCCCTAATTACAAGTAGAAAAATGTCTGCTCAGAGGATATGCTAGAGCTCAAAAAGGAGTTGTCAGCTACAGTAGAATCAAAGTGTCAACCAAAATTTGGAAAGGTATTTTAGACTCGAACAATTGACTTAAGTAGAATTTTATGATTATCTTGCAGCCTCATCGCAAGGTATTTGAGGTACTTTAGTTTTCTGGCTTTTTAATGTTCTTCTATCTGACCATTGGCACAAAGTATACCTCCGCAGAAAACGGCTGCATAAGTAGTATGCATTTTATCCCTTGTTTATATATTTTAAATTGAAATATATTCTCTAGAAAACATGCACATGAATAATCTTTTTCTTATACCGGTTTCGTAGCAGATTACATCGTGTTTATATTTTAAACTTGAAAAATCATTATCTTTCGGTTTTTAATAAGTTTCTTGAGATCAAGTTCAGATGGAAGCCAAAACGATCATTACCGAAAACATAATGCGTGTGACAACTATCTTACCCCGTGACCGCATATTTTCGTGCGGATAACAGGTATTTTCTCTACTGATCGCATAATTAGATGCGGGCGACGATTACCTTCCAACACACTGAGCCGCTGTTGAATTTTATGCTTGTCATTGTCTTGAGTTAACTGTTTTCGCAACACTCTCGTTTGTCTGATGACGAGCTGGAGAACCAGGTTAAAAAAACCAAACAGTAAACATTATTCTTTCGCAAAAGACATTATCGTGAACAATATCTCTCGCTTAGGATGCCGATATTTCAGTACACAGTTAGTATTCTCACGTTCACATCCATAAATAACAGTTTAATAGAACCTTTTTGTTCGTTCTTGCTCAAGAGGAATATTTGTACAGAAACAGCGGCCTACATATTTTAAAATCACATAGAAGAATGAACTTCGTTCACTTCGTTCAGCTGTTCAGTACTTGGGCGAAAGGTATGGAAAGCTTCTCTTTACCTGGAGTTAATTTGATACGTCTTCATGTCATCCATGGATTGACGGACAGCTAACCTGTATTAACTTACTCCGGTAAGACTTTTGCGCCGACGTGTTCTCCATTGCCTGACAGCAAATTGATGAAAACTAAATGATTATTCTTCGAATACATCATCATCCTGCTTAAAATGCTATCAGCTGAGCGCCAGACGTGTGTTTGCGGCATTCGGATAGTTGGCAGTCAAACTCTTTACCCATCATACATTATGAAATAACAAAAATTATCTACTATCGACGAGAAAGCTGCTAAAATATTTTGTCTTTAATTTGATTTGTATACTTCAGCAGATCTATTTATATGTTTACCTTATATATCGGGAGTAAGATGTCAGTTGTTAGTTTGGAATAGTCACAATTATCCATTTGTTCAACAAGTTCAACACTCGCTTTATTTAAAAAAATGCGTTAGGAGATACTTTGCAAGCTATAAACATACTGTACCCGTGCATCAAAGCAGGGACAGTTAGATTTGTTTTTTACGGAGGTCTTGCTTAAGACACCATGTAGACGCTTTGAAACCCAACGAAAATGCTACGAAGTGGCCGTAGGAGGCCTGAAATCTGACCACAAATGTGCGAGTCGGGCGTCCATCCCTGTTGACCACGACAGTCGTCTGAAACGGGCGCCGGCCTAAACATCCATACGGTAGTCTGGAAGGGTCATTATTTTCTTATGTCGAACTATAACAGAAGTTAAAGAGGTCGAATACTCTTTTTCCGGTTTGGACTAAGTTATTTGATTTTTGCATCCGACGGTTCGACCGTCGGCTTCGATGAGGTCCACCGTGCGTTCCGGGACAGGAGATGCAAGAACCGTGGCTTAGACATGAATTAGTTTTAAGTGATAGTAGACCTGCTTCGCATCTACCGCGCTCTCTCTCTCGCTCCTGTCACCCACCTGTGCCCACTGTGAAAATAAAGTTAAGGAGACCAAAGGTTTAATCGGGTGCTAGCGGCCGTATCCCATGGAGCGGGATTGACATAAAGGCCGTAGGTGGCTGGTGCCTGAGCCTGCATTTGTTATGGAAGTGAAACCGGCATTTGTTATGGGAGCGCAACCGAAATAACGCCTGTCATGCCCTGATCTGGCCCCCAGGCTGGTGTGGCACATCTATCA